GTCCAGGCCTACGACGACGGTCATTTTTGCTGAATCCGTAATGTCCTCCCTGCCCGCCGATTGTCGCTCGATGCTGCCGAGTCGCGCAGCATCGATTTTATCGAGATGATGTTTGTGGAGGAATCGAGACCGCGCGTCGTCGACTCGCGATTTGGGATGGTGTCCAAGTATCGACATTTTGGACAATCGATATTCTTTAATAAATAAATCCATCAGGTTTGTAGAAAATGGAATGTAGAATGTACGGGAGGGGGGTTAATCACCTGGACCTTATATGTAGACCTATTTTGTCCCCCTTTTGTATGTATAACTCATCATACAGTTTCAGGGGCTTTGAAAAATGCCAGTATCTGAGACGGTTTTACAGAGGTTAATTCTTCATCTCTGATATCAGTCATACCAACGTTTATGGCGCAAATAATTGTTATCTCAGCGCACCCAGTGATGAGGTGATCTGGTGTTTCGCCATTTTCTCCACATAATCTGCATTCGCCGTTGTTCCTTTGCTTCAATTTACTGAGGTGTTCATTGAGGAGACAGAGTGTCTTATTAAAAGCCAGAGACAGAGCTGCTAATTCCGTTAGTGTTCCTTTTCTGAAGAAAACAACAACTCAAAGGGTTACAGTTGGGGGTTAGAACCTTTGGTGTTACAACAGTAAAATAAAACACTAAATCACAACAATACTAGATATACCTGCGCTTCTTCTAAGGTAGTCCATTTCAACAACTTGAATTTTGTGCTTTGCGTCTGCACTTAGCGTCCATAGCTCTGAACCATTGCAAAGAACTGACTCTACCAATGTTCGTCCAAGTCTCTTTTTAGTTGCAGACAAGTTTCGGCCCCACCAGAGGCTACTAAGACATCCAATAACTTGTTTGCTTTTCCGAATTCGGGTTTGTATTTCTTCTTTGCCCAAACCCTCGCTGTTGATTAGTCATGAATTCCAGAATGTCATGAAGCCTCTTAGTCATGAATTCCAAATCGTATGAGTCCTGCGCAAT